ATGGATGTTGTTAATGAATACTCAATGGATGTTGTCAATGATGATCAAGATCTAATCTTGTTTCAAACTCGAAAAAAGAAATTTTCAATTTGTTGGACAAAACTAAAAATATCCTTGAAAAAAATGTGGAAAATCTAAACAAATAGCTCGATAGCATAGAAAAAAACTTTGAAGTATTAAGGAAATTAGTGGAAAATTGTAAACGATTTGAGAGACAAATGTATATTCCAAATACTTGGAAAAATCACAATAATAATACTTTCTGGTTGTAATATTGAGTCATGTTTTATTTTAGCTAAATAAATAATGATATATTATTGCTGTTCTAATTTTTATATGCATTATATTTTATGAGAATAAGTTTTTTTTAAAAAAAAATTTAACTTTGGTACACAAGTGTAAAATATTAGATATAGTAGCTAATAATAAAAATATTTGATACAATGTATTATTTTAAGATGTTGGGACGTTTTCCATGTATGTAAGCTTTTTTTTTTACAAATCGTTCGTCTTTAAGTTACACATTCAATTAAAACTCCCGATTTTGTATCATGTGGTTTCAAAATTTTTTTGGGTGGTGATTTTACCCCCATTTTTCAACCAATAATACAATCCCAGTTTCAGCAAAACTTTCAAAACTCTTTTCAACCAGTAATTCAACCCCAGTTATAGCAAAACTTTTAAACCTCTTCTCAACCAGTAATTCAAACCCAGTTACAGAAAAACATACCACCACCCTTACCCCCTGGTCATGAGTATCGACTTGAGGAATTTTATATGAATAATTTTATGGATGACCAAGAAGACAGATGGGAATTGGAATAACTCCTACTCCATTAAGCAAATTACCACCTGGAGGAAAAATAATTTGTCCAAAGTCTGAAAAAGCCAAAGCCTTACAAGAAATAATGGATTATGCCAAATTGGGTCTTGATATAGAAGATGAAAGACTTTACGATCTAATGAAAATTGATCTTGCAATTCTTAATATTGCAAGAAGGATTGGAGAGAATCCTACTATGAATATAGTTAATACATCCCGAACTGTTAGAAAAAAGAAACCACCTGTTATAAAGAGAGTTATTAAAAAGGTTGTTAGACCCAAAAATAAACGAGTAAACTTGGATACCTATGAAGAAGCAACAAAAGATCCTAATAATGAGAAAGAGGAAGTTTATGAAGAGATAATTTATGAGAATGAGGATAATGAAAATGTCGAGTATGTAAAAGTTGAAGATAGACCTGAAGAGATGCTTTGCAATAATTCTACTTAGCTATGAATCTTGTAAAAAAAAAGTAGCTAAAAAACCATTACTAGCTAAGCCAGCTCACAATAATTATAAAAAGATAGAGCAAAAAGTTAGTAAGATTTGTAAAAAAATTTTCAAGATAAGCTTAGAAATATTCTTAATAAATTTAAAACTCTTTTATCTTCTTATAATTTATCACCAGAATTGGCAAGCTCTATGGCTTTAGATGAACCTATGAATATTAATTTGATACGTCGTCCTGCTAATGATCTTACAACTGCTGAATATAGAATTAATATTATTTTAATTCCCAAAGCAGTATTGGATGGAGGTGCTCAGTGTACTATGATAAGTAAAAAACTAGCAAGGCGTCTTG